ACTCCTCCCCTTCATCCTCATAATGTCATGAGGTCACAATAAACCATGTGTGATGTATGGAGTTGTGTTAGACCAAATAAATGCTTATGAAGTTTAGAATTTCTTTCTGGTCACCAAAAACCTCTCCTCCACACTCTAGGTGGTCATGTGACAAATGATGAAATCTCCAAAAAGTTGTAAAACTCCTCACTTCAAAGGTAAATTTCTACTAAACTAAGCATTTTTTGCAAATGCCAAATTTATTGAAACATTTCAGCATTGAAAGATCAAAGTCTGGTTTGAATGGAGTCTGTATGCATATATGCAGTGCTTGAAGTCGAAGAAATAGGTGCCAGTAGCCCACCCCCATACTATCCTCAACCTGAAGGAGAAACTAGTATAAATTAGTGTTAGTAAATATTACAACATTAAATACAAAGTATAATGTTAGTTTGCATCTGGGGTGAATGTAAACAGCAGCAACCGGATGATAATATGAAAGTTTCATCTTCACAATAAACAGTCTGACATCTGAGAAACAGAGTTCATCCTGACTGTGTTTGTGCACCAAGCGTCATCGATGTAAAAGAGTACTCTTCCTCTCATCTTGCTGGAGTCTTGCGCTGACAGCTCAGAACATGGACCACCTGCCGAGTGCTTGATCCAGGATGTTGATGGGGCAGGTCTCTGTAACGATGTGGGCACAACAGTCTCTGAATTCCGTTGTCTGGTCAATATGAATCCCATTTTGTCCAGACTGAATTTTTAGGAGCAGAATTAAGTCCAAGCTGGGCCAGCATGGCTCCTCTCCTGGCTCTCTTTCCTCTCCTCTGAGCTGCACACTCCTTGGCTCCTGGTCCAGTTGTTTGGGCCGTGGTCTGCTGCTCTTTAATCCAAAAACCCATTCTTCATCTTCCAATGACTGTTTATGTCACAGGCAACGCATGTTTTGGCAATAAAGCCGGAAAAAAACAGATAAAAAAACAAAAGTGTAGCAAAGTTTGAAGATAATGTAAAATATTAAATTGAAAAATCTGTTAAGGTGTGTATGCACAAAAAAGGCGTACGGCACTTACTAAGCAAACTGAGGGATTTTTATAAACCAAACCTGACGGGTCCTCCATGCTAACTCTGAGCCATGCATCTGCACATAAACTGGAGAAATGAGAAAATGTGACTCACACGGCAGAATGAAACGGTTTGAAATGGATACTGTTGTGTAAAATACAGTGCTCAAATCAATCTCATTAAATACTCCTTTCTTTACGTAGCTGAATGTGCTGACAACAAAATCACACAAAAATTATCAATGGAAATCAAATTTATCAACCCATGGAGGTCTGGATGTGGAGTCACACTCAAAATCAAAGTGGAAAACCACACTACAGGCCGATCCAACTTTGATGTAATGTCCTTAAAACAAGTCAAAATTAGGCTCAGTAGTGTGTGTGGCCTCCACGTGCCTGTATGACCTCCCTACAACGCCTGGGCATGTCCTGGACAGTCTGTGGTGCAATGGAGCGAGACATGATGTCCCAGATGTGCTCAATTGGATTCAGGTCTGGGGAACGGGCGGGCCGGTCCATAGCATCAATGCCTTCCTCATGCAGGAACTGCTGACACACTCCAGCCACATGAGGTCTAGCATTGTCTTGCATTAGGAGGAACCCAGGGCCAACCGCACCAGCATATGGTCTCACAAGGGGTCTGAGGATCTCATTTCGGTACCAAATGGCAGTCAGGCTACCTCTGGCAAGCACATGGAGGGCTGTGAGGCCCCCCAAAGAAATGCCACCCCACACCATTACTGACCCACCGCCAAACCGGTCATGCTGGAGGATGTTGCAGGCAGCAGAACGTTCTCCACGGCGTCTCCAGACTCTGTCACGTCTGTCACATGTGCTCAGTGTGAACCTGCTTTCATCTGTGAAGAGCACAGGGCGCCAGTGGCGAATTTGCCAATCTTGGTGTTCTCTGGCAAATGCCAAACGTCCTGCACGGTGTTGGACTGTAAGCACAACCCCCACCTGTGGACGTCGGGCCCTCATACCACCCTCATGGAGTCTGTTTCTGACCGTTTGAGCAGACACATGCACATTTGTGGCCTGCTGGAGGTCATTTTGCAGGGCAGTGCTCCTCCTGCTCCTCCTTGCACAAAGGCGGAGGTAGCGGTCCTGCTGCTGGGTTGTTGCCCTCCTACAGCCTCCTCCACGTCTCCTGATGTACTGGCCTGTCTCCTGGTAGCGCCTCCATGCTCTGGACACTACGCTGGCAGGCACAGCAAACCTTCTTGCCACAGCTCGCATTGATGTGCCATCCTGGATGAGCTGCACTACCTGAACCACTTGTGTGGGTTGTAGACTCCGTCTCATGCTACCACTAGAGTGAAAGCACCGCCAGCATTCAAAAGTGACCAAAACATCAGCCAGGAAGCATAGGAGCTGAGAAGTGGTCTGTGGTCACCGCCTGCAGAACCACTCCTTTATTGGGGGTGTCTTGCTAATTGCCTATAATTTCCACCTGCTGTCTATTCCATTTGCACAACAGCATGTGAAATTGATTGTCAATCAGTGTTGCTTCCTAAGTGACAGTTTGATCTCACAGGAGTGTGATTGACTTGGAGTTACATTGTGTTGTTTAAGTGTTTCCTTTACTTTTTTGAGCAGTGTATATTGAAATATTACCTCTGAGTGTTATTTAAGTTATTATGACCTAATGTGCAAAAACAGATTAAAGCCATTCTTAAACGAATAAACAAACACCTGTTTGAACACCATTCTCTCAAGTGTGCAAAAGAAATAAGATAATTTATTTAAAATGTGATCTTATGGTATTTCACTGATACCCCCTGGAGTTTCAGTTGATTTAGAACACCTCAGATATTTTTAATCAGGAATCACATTTAATTTGATCTGTAATTAATTCTTGCATGCTATGAACTGTATTCTCATAAATACAGAAGGACAGATGCCATTTTCACTGAGGCCATTTTTGATGCCTATAGTTTCATATAATGTTGTCACATCTTCGTTGCCCTATCCCCAGTCCTTTGAGCCGTGTGCGCCAGCATGTGGATGTGATGCGGCGCTTGTAAAATCACAAGGTATGGAAAATATGCTTTTGGTTTACTCCCTTTTCAAATGAGGGAATACACCCCTCCACCTCCCTCACTACTTTTCACTCCTACAAGTCGCTCATCAAGGGAGTGGAGCTCTGGTGTCCCCTTTCCTCCGGGGCCAAACACTTTGTACACCAAACAACTTCTTCTCTTCTCTCAGTCTATCTTATTAATTTTAAATTTGTAAATTAATTGTCTTTCCTCTTCTTATACTTTTTATACTTGTATATTGTATATTTCTATGTACATGCAGCAACCATGCAGTCCAAAACAAATTTCCTTTCGAGGACAATAAAGTATACTACTACTACTACTACTACTACTACTACTACTACTACTACTACTACTACTACTCTCCTGCTTCAACCTCCCCAAGAACTTTACTCTCACTATGGGTGGAAATTTTTTTTTAGGTTTTCTCTCAGAATTTGCTGTCCTTGTCTTTATGCAGTGTGTATGTTTTTCAGTGTGTGATTTAGTGGCATCTCTGGTGGTGAGGTTGCAAATTGCAAGGTGACTGACAGAGCACAAAAGGTGTCTCTTCTGAGACAGCAGAGAGTGGCCAGTCAAGAAATGAGGTTTCTTTAGGTAGATTTATTAAGAGATATTATTTAGTAAAACCATATGTTATTGTGACTTGAGATAACATGGAAATGCCCTCACCAAAACTGCCCTCCAGCAATAACATCTGGCCTGCTGCCAGATTACGGCACTTTCATAGCGGCAAAAATATAAATAAAAAAATGCTTTGATAGCCGTGCTGAAATAGATCTCAGACATGGCAGCAACAGTTACTCACATAATCACTTCCTCTTTAGGGGATTTGCCTACAAAATAAAAGCACGAGAATGTTTTTGCAGCAATGCTCTATATTGAGTTGAATTGAGAGCTTTTACTTTGAAAAATTCTGAACGACAATAAATAGTCTGTAGCCTTCTTTTTTCCCTCTGCATGGATACTGTGGAAATGAAAAAGCGTCAGTTTGTCCGTTTTTTTAATTTACTCTAGAAACATGGCAGCACAACATGGTCGACATCAATGTGAGGGTTCATTATGTAAGGTCTTTACACACCACCGAAACATAGTTATGGATCGTATATTGCATTTCTGTCAATAGATCATTAGAAATATTACACACTGAACCTTTACAGATGTTTCACTGACTGTTTATAGGCAACTACGGACATTAAAAGGGTGGGACAAGATTCTCACTCACCTTCTCTAACTTTTGAGTTGATAGGGATTTATAAAGGGAAATTGGTGTGGGTTGTGCACTGTGTCATGAATCAGAATATTTTTGTCCGTAAGCACTTTGTGTTTTGTTGTATGTTCTGATTTTGTAGCACTTTCCCTAAATCCCTGTCCTCGCGCTCAAATAGCCCCTGCTTACGGTTACATTTACCCTGCTTCTGCTCAAACTGTGAGCACTGCTTCTGGCAGTCAGGAAGAATGAAATCAAACAGAGGTGTGTTGTGTATTTTAGCAGAACCCTTGCTATTACTAATGACAGGTGAGGTCCAATTGCAGTCTCGACTTATATGTAATGCATCAGTTCTTTCTCGGTGAGCTCTTTGTGACACCAAAGTGGTAAATAAACACATAAGACCCGTTGTTGGTCTCCGTACTTTTATCTCCCTACCAGTGTCCATGTAGCGCTGATAATGCAGCATGACATCACCAAAACAAATGAGTTACTTGTCAGTCTATTTGACTTTATGTTTACTCATCTTGATTCTTCAGTAAAAATCAACATGAGCATGAACATGGAGCAGACCAAGGGAAACAATCGGTCGTTCTTTTCTGTAGTCTGGACCACATAAACTGAACTAGAGTTGTCAAAGCTCTCAGGGTCTAACATGCAGTAACTGTGGCTCCAATCTGGTCCTCTGTCTGCCTAATCCAGGATAAAGAATCTCCATGCCCAGATCATAGAGAAGGACGCTATGATCAAGGTGCTTCACCAGCGCTCCAGAAAGGAACCCATCAAGTCAGACGCGCCATCTGCCATGAGGCCGTCCAAGTCTCTGATGTCCATCTCCAACACTGGCTCCGGTGGTTCAGGACTGCTCTCCCACAGCCTAGGACTTAGTAGCTCGCCCATTACCGAAGAACGCAAGGACACCAGCTGGAAGGGCAGCCTCGGTAAGAACAGCATCTCTTGCTGTGGGTGAAACAGACAGTTTCCAGGGCGGCTGTGGCTCAGGAGGAAGAGTGGGTTGCCCGTTAATCGAAAGGTTGGCCGTTCAATCCCCGGCTCCTCCAGGCTGCATGTCGAAGTGTCCTTGGGCAAGATACTGAACCCTGAATTGCCCCTGGTGGCTGTTCTGCCAATGTATGAATGTGTGTGAATGTCAGTTTCTGTTTGAGAAAAGACTACAAAAGCGCTGTACAAATATGCAGCATTTACAGTCACTTGTAGGTGTGCTGCTGTCAGTGGTTTGGAGTAACAATTGTTCTCTTCACATGTTCCTCCAGGGGTTCTGCTGGGTCCTGAGTTTCGTACAGAGTCTCTGAGGACAGAGTCTATCTCATCATCCCCCTCCCCAGTGCTTCCTTCCACCCCGATGGCCGCAGGCCACTCGAAGACAGGCAGCAGAGACAGCTGCACGCAAACCGAGAAGGGCCAGAGTCAGGACACCAGCAAGCCCAGCACTCCAGCCCTGCAGAGCATGACGCTGCCTGCCCGCCTGTCCAGTCCCAGTCCTGTCTACATCCCTGACCGCATAGCAGGTCAGGTCACACTGTCTGACAGATGTTTAAGGCTCTGATCACACCACCATGCCTCAGTTGGAGAGTGGTCTCACGCATAGTTGTTTTAAGAGTCTCAAGAGTCTTTGAGCACCTCCAAATGTAGGTTTAGGACCCCAATGGACCCCAGTGAAGCGACACGTTTTCAGTATCAATTCAGACTATTGTCTCAATGAATTGTGTAGTCTATAAAATTTCCATCACATTTTCCCAGACTCCAAGTCTTCAACTGTCTGAAGATATTCAGATTAGAATGACACAAAACAGACAAGCAGAAATTATTAATATACTGTCAGTGGGTTGTGCACTGTGTCATGAATCAGGTAGGTAGGTTTATTGTCACAATATAACTATGTTGTAAACTATCATCAGTGGAGCAGTGCTGAGGATGAATTAGAGTTTAAGAGCCTGATAGCTTGGGGGAAGAAGCTGCTCTGCAGTCTGGTGGTGTGGCAGCAGAAACTTCTATATCTCTTCCCAGAAGGCAGCAGGGTGAACAGGCTGTGGCTGGGTGGGTACTGTCTTTTAGTATCTTTGGGCTCTGCGCAGGCACCTCACCTCACTGATATCACTGATGCTCGGGAGATGGGTACCAATGATCTTCTGAGCAGTTTGAATCACCCACTGCAGAGCCCTCCAGTCCTGGGCCGTGCACATCCCATGTTAGTGATGTTTCCAGTCAGGATGCTTTCTAGTAATACAGTATGTTGAATAGAACCAATGAACAAATGATCAGCATTGTCAATCTCTTACTGACCTAATTTTAGTAGTTTGACACATTTTTAAATAAATGAATGAATTCTTTCAACTACTACAAGTAATGACATCTAACCCAAAGTTCCAGGCAGGAGGCAGCAGCAACACACCTGACAGATACAAGGTCTGTCCCAGTACACTCACAACATGGACAAATTCACGTACCTACATCTTCCCAGTGTACTCATTCACCACATCTGTAGCCACTAGAAAAAGAGTTCTCATATTCCTGTAATTCTTAGAAATACAAGAATTACAAGGTGAGTTTGCAGGAGCAACGATGAATAAGACAATAAATAATTCAGCTTATTCTAAATATACAAAAAAATTTATTTACATCATGTAATAAATGTATATGTGATATTGTAAACATTACTAATGTTCTATAAGCTTTGGTCTGTCATGTTTCAGTGTGTAGAACCACACAAAATGTTGCATACTATGAATGCTGGGTAATTTTAATCATGACAAGGATTGCATTCAGTTGTAATGATTGATGTGATGCAGCCATGGCACTTCACCTTTTGTGGCCTCCTATTGGCTGAGTCAGGAGGCCATTGAGGGTAGTCATGGCCGTGTAACAACTCACTTCCTTGTTCACTCACTACTTCCTGTATAACAGAAGCTCAGTAGTTTACTGTATGGTGAGCAGTAAACTGTGAATTTTGGACACTTATGACTAGTCATCATCTTGTATCATCAGTGACAGGTGTAGAGTCAGTAATTTTCCCATCTATGAAATGTGACATGTTGCATTGTGGGATTGATAGCAGAAAGTAGTGTACATTACATGTTTGAGGCTCTACGATGAGGATAAATGTCACACTGGCATGAAATGGTGGACAGTAATGTAGTGCATGTAGAGTGAATAAAGAAGGATTTTTGTTTACTGTGCTGTATAACAAGTACTGGTTAACCTCCATGATTAAAGGTTTATAATACAGACAGACCAGATCATCAGAAATGCTGATGGATCATATTTTGGATGTTCTTTGTCGTCTCTGTGTAGATGTGCCAGTGTTTCACAGCAGCACCCTGGAGCGGAGGTTCCCTGTCCAGTCCCACCCACAGCAACAGGCACCTCCTCCAGCTCTGCCCACCCAACAGGAAGTGGACAACGACATGGTGGAGATCCTCATCTGAACCTATGACCTCTGGAAAAAAATCATCCAAACAAATGAGTGGATGGCAGCTCTACCAGGCAAACACAGTGACAGACATGTCAATTTTGCCAGCTCAGTCTGTGTTTGACTGACCCACACCAACACACATTTTCATTCTCATATTCACACGTGCATTCATTCAAACACTTCCAGCGTGACTGCAGGTTCTCACATTTCCTTCACTGAACCGCTGTTTATCATCCATCATATTAGGATAGCCAGAAATAAGTAGTAGAAGGCAGAAAAGATCTTGTCTCATCTCAGTGGTTTCCTAAATGTGTATTAAGAGGATGTGAACGTAAAAATGTAAAAGTTCATAGCCCCATATTTATTTTTCAAATGCATCTTTGTAAGCTGCCTTAGTGCTGTCTTTTTCACAATGATGTGACACATTTAACTTGTCGACTGATGTTTGAAGTTGAACGAGCTGAAGGGTTAGGCATAACCTTTTTTTTAAAGGTTGACACAGTTGACATTAATGAGATAGAAAAACTATAAAAAGGAGTGGGCAAAGATACAAGCCAAAATCTTCCTTAAAATTCAACATAAAGAGCATCCACATACACATGCATTTTGAACTTTTCCATTTAAGGTGAAGGATTTCTCTCTTTGTCCCTGTTGTGTGACTCCCTGGGGTCAATGTCTAAGATTTTGTTTAAATGCACTACTTTTTGACCTGGGGTGTTTAGTGTCATTGTTAGTGTATGTACAGAGTAATTGTGTCCATATTAACGGCAGCAACAATGGCATATCAGCATGTTTGCAAAAAATTACAAGCAAATGATTAATGATGAGGAAACTGGCTTTGCTACAATGATTTAGCTGTGAGGGGAAGCAGCTTGTTGCCTGGAGACATGAGAGAGGTGTGTAAACTGTCCTGTACAGTGTTGCTTGAGGCTCATTAGCTCCATTGGACCAAATGTATCAGCGACATTATTATTATTATTTTTTAATGGTAGTTAGACATGACACTTGGGTGATCAGTAATGATGTAAACTATAAACATTGTTAATTGTGTAAGTAGGGTAAATACTTTGTGTATGTACTGTCATGGCTGTGGAGGGTTCTGACAGCTAAGCCTTTCAGTCGTTACATTTCCACAACTATTGAATTAGGCAGTTTGGATGTTGCCTTTTTGTTAGCAGACTTGTTTTGCTCCATGGTTGGTGCAAAGTAACTGGCCCTGTTTGGTACTGGCACAAGCGCGCTGACATCTCTCCCTGAGTAAAACTACTCAATCTGATGAGCTTTCCCTTTTTTGTTAATCAGTTGACATAGCCCTCCTCCCTGTACACCAAGCTGTAAACTCATCTCCTCAATGGCAACAAATGTTCATTTTCCTGTCAGAGATGCATTTAAAATATAGGATATAGGATGAACAACACTAAAGTGTATCGTAGCAGAAAAGGGATACCTTGGCCAACTGAAGTCAAAGTGCTGCATGGATCAGTAAATACGCACAGTTGTTTACGAAACACTGAAAGCAGGTTTTCCTGAACAGTTCTTTCACCTAGCTCCTAAAATGGCCATGTGTAATTAGATAGCGTTTATTATCATGAATAAAATGTAGCTCTGTGAACGTGTAGTTAGACACACAAACTAACCTGCTTTCTCTTGGCTGCCTCCCTGCCTGGACAACATGAATGTTCTGCTTTTACTGTAGTTAATGCAATATCGTTATTTCAGCTGAAACACCTTACCATGTTGCTTCACTAGATTTTAATCATATACTTGCAGTAAATACATGTGTAAATAGGCAGTGTTTTTACTGTTCTTTATCTTATTTAATTTGTAACACCTTATCCTGTTAATTCACAACATTTAATTATATACTCACGACGACAAATAGCTTTGATATCATCCTACATCAGCCACACGTTTTATTCATTCTTTCTTTCCATTTTGACTTTCCCATTCCTTTGTGTAATTACTGGGGAACTTCACTGATTATCAGCGTTGGGATCGAGAGGCGGGCTCCAGCGGGTGGCGAGTATCAGGCAGGGTGTGTGTGTGGGAGTGTCCCGTGTGTTATTTATTAGGGCCCGAGCACGAACCGTGCGAGGTCCCTATTGAATTTGTAAAGATTTTATTTTTTTTATTTTTTTCTGCAAAGTAAGCTCAATATTGGGGGCCTAAACATACTCAAAAACTCACCAAACTTTGCACACATGTCAGAAGTGGTGAAAAATTTCGTATTTTATGGGTTTCGCGCATGGGCGTGACAAAATGACTTGCTAGCGCCACCTAGAAAATTGGAAAAGATTAGCCCCTCGTTCACGTTCAACCTACATGTACGAAATTTTCTGGGGACATGTATCGTATCAAGACGCACAAAAAAGCCTCAAGAACCCATATCCTAAACTCAACAGGAAGTCGGCCATTTTTAACTTTACAGCCATTTCTGGATGATTTACACACTTCGTACTTTAACGAACTCCTCCTAGGGATTTAGTCGGATCGACGTCAAATTTCTGCTGTGCCTTCTAAAGGCATTGAAGATGAAAAGTTGTGCTATTTGCGAGTTTTTGTCAATGGGCGTGTCTGTGGCGTTGATGATTCGCCATGAAACAGGAAGTTGTTGTAACTTCAGTGTACATGTTCACATCTGGACCAAAGTGTACATGTAGGATGAAAGTCCCGCCCTGAACACATGTACATGCCGACATTCACCCACAGTCATAGCGCCACCTGCTGGCAACAGGAAGTGACCTTTAACAAAGCAGCCCGCGCCGCACGTTTCACCTACGTGCACGAATTTTCTGTGGTACGTGTATCTTGTCCAGACGCACAAAAAAGTCTCTTGGAGCCATAGCCTAAACCCAACAGGAAGTCAGCCATTTTGAATTTTATGGCAATTTTTGGATGATTTACACACTCCGTACTTTAACGGATTTAGTCCGACCGACTTCAAATGGGCGTGTCCGTTGCGTGGCGTCAAAGATCAACTCTTCGCCATGACACAGGAGGTTGTTGTAACTTCAGTGTACATGCTCACATCTGAATAAAACTTTACGTGCTTGATAATTCTCCCACCCCGCAGTCATCTACACACCAATACCGATTTATATTCATAGCTATGTAGCTCCACATAGGGGACACGGAACCGCGTAGCAAATTCACAGCGGCACCGGCAGAGCTCCAGAATGTGCAACTCGGCCGGCTCACACCCGGACGCGCTACAAGTGCGAGGGCCCGCCCAAAGTGTAGACCTGGCAACCCTGCCCCCACTGATCACTATCGAACAGCCTTTTCAATAGCAGAGGCTCTTAATCACTCAGCATTTCACTTCCCATGCTTGAAGAACAAGATGGAGGAAATGTATCTTTTAGTCTCAAAATTGACAATGACTTTAATGTGAATATTTAGATTTTCAGGCACTTTTAGGTATTACTGTAACTACGATCCATCTGACTGGTTAGCAGATCAAAACAAACCATGAAAAGTATTTTCAGACACCATTTGACCAACTTTAATTTGAAATAACACCAGCCTCAAGGGGTTGTGAACATGAAAGGTATGCAACAATCGACTGCTCTTCCAGATACCAGACTAGGGCAGTTTTGCATTACGCTATGCATAATGAAGTACCTTCTGAGCTCGACATTGCGTGCTTTTCTCCAAATGTAACAGAATGGATCGGTACTCATCCCACATCATATAAGCAAAACCCTTGTTCATGTTCAAAATGCTAGAATTAGTGGGGTGAGGTCATTCCCTCGGCTTCAAAAATTTTGTTGAAGAAAGTGATAATATTTTGAGACCATTAGTCTCTCAAGAGATTGGAATGTGCTGCATTTCCAGAAATTTAATTGTTTGGTTTAATGTAGTGTACATAAGCTACCTATGAGCTTTTAAATCAAGCCACAATGTCAAGAATAACTGAGCCTTTACAAAGTCAAATGTTTATTTGACTTATGTGGTTAAATATTACATTTCCAGTGAGGTTAATATAGTTTGATTCAAAATGTCCACTGTACAACCAAAAATGTTGGACCAAAGAGGCTAAGAAAGGTCAGCTAACCAATGTAAATTAAGAATGCACTGATATGGATGCTGATATGCCATTTTAGCGAGGGATAAGGATTTAGACCACTACTTCAGCCAAACAAAAAGTGTTATTTTTCTCCACTACAGATCTGCAGTCCTGTGTGGGAAATCATTTGAAAGTCAAGCTGCTTTGTTTCCTGTCACAGGACACACAGCATTCTGATTTTGACTGAAACATGTTCATAGCTGCTAAAACACTTTAGTCAACTGTTCTGGTGTCCAAACCTGTATTAATATTGATGGATCCCTAAAAAAAGGTTTCGTGGTGAGTGTAACATTGTGTTGATGGCTCTGACATGTGATTCATGGTTGTGTAAAAACAAACGGAATGCAAAAAGCACAATGCCAGTGCTAATTAATAAATATGTTGCCATCGCCAGCACATTATTCAGTGTCCTTAATGCTGGTACTCTATATCTGTCTGAGCTGTGTGTTGGTGGGCTCAGCTAAAATCTTGAAGACAATGGACCCTGTGGGAACTATAAGGCCTCAGGTGGGATGGCTGCAGGTTTCTCAAAAGCTGCTTTAGATTGACCATAGTTAATTTTGGTTGGGAAGTTTTGAATGGGTTTCATGAATCATTACCTTCAAGCGCAAAAATGTAGCTGCAAAAGCAGCAAAGTAAAAAAGTCATTTACATTTCTGTTGCTGGCATTCCCAGCCTTGAAAAACACATTTCTCAAAATGGTCATATGTCTGATATGTTGAGGCTTTATTAATCAGACCCGAACATTTCAAAATACAAAGATCTTTTCACGGTTGGTTGTGGAAAATGAAATGCCAAACACTGAAAGGATGTACAGCTATTTGATAAAAACAGTACTGTGTTAAGTTGGGAATTTAAAATCTAGTCTTTCAACTACAGTGTAGGGTCTGAGAAACAGAATAAGCTTGGTTCTGATCAGACGGATCTGAGAGGACAAAAATAACCACATTTGAAAACCCAGCAGATATTTGACACTTTTGTCTATAAAAACACTGGAAAATGGTTGTCCATTTATTTTATGTCAATCAGTGAATAGTGTCAGCATTACTACAGTGTAATTCCATAAGGCAGTAGGTAACGAAATGTTTGCATACAGCAGTTAAATGAGATGAGAGATGCACTGATTTTCTTGGCCGAACCCTAGTTCCATTTTCTTAAGGTCTGACCTGCCAATTCAGATTTTCTTTCTTTCTAAGAATTCTGACTTTCCACAGAAGGTCAGTGTAACTGTGGCGGGACAGAGGGTATATTTAGGGCCCGAGCACGAACCGTGCGAGGTCCCTATTGAAACTGTAAGGATTTTTTTTTTCAAGACACACAAAAAAGAACCCATACCCTAAACTCAACAGGAAGTCAGCCATTTTTGATTTTATGGTAATTTTTGGATGATTTACACACTCCATACTTTAACTCCTCCTCCTAGGGATTTAGTTGGGTCGACTTCAAATTTCTGCTGTGCCTTCTAACGGCATTGACGATGAAAAGTAGTGCTATCTGTGAGTTTTCGTCAATGGGCGTGTCCGTGGCGTGGCGTCAAAGATCAACTCTTCGCTATGACACAAGAAGTTGTTGTAACTTCAGTGTACATGCTCATGTCTCTACCATTTCACACAATTGATAAGGCCGCTTCACACCCCAACGCGCTACACGTGCGAGGGCCCGCCCAACGCTGCTTGCAGCTTTAATTGTATATTGCATTTGAAAGAATACATGACCCTATTTCGAGTAGGTTATTTCTTATCTCACTATTTTAATTCTGCTTAATTCTCCACCTTATTTTAGTGTTTCCTCTGAAACTGCTTTAATCTGCTCACCTTGCACCTACCTACACCCATCTCCACCCGTCTCTGTCTGTCTCTCGCTCCCTGTATCTGTCTGCTCTGCTAACTTTATTTGTCAGCTGTATTTCTTACAAAGTTGCCCAAAAAACCACAACTAGCAGTGTACAGCTGTGGACACGGTCAGCATCAGAACGGAAGTGTATGCTTTGTGTTGTGTGTAATGTTTTAAGAGCTTTACCTTGCTGTCAAACAGTCATTCATTTTGGATCTATATTTTCTCAACTGTAGAACTTTGGATATGTCAGTCACATATTTGGCCAGTCGATCAGTGCATCTCTACTTAAATGAACTGCTTTATGACATTATTGGCATTCATCATTAAAAGCAATATGCACTATTAGCATGAGAATAGCATGAATTGACTTCAATTGTATTTATATAGCATTTGTAAGTAAAATATAGATTTTTACTGCTCATTTATTGAACCTTGATGACAGCGCTGAAGACCATCTGAAAGGTTTGGACCAAAACTTTCTGTAAGCGACCCACCTGAGTGCTCACCACAGGCCTCGGTCCTGCCTCTGGCCTCCACCAAAGCATCCCACAGCTTACAATCTACCATGCACACACATACTGCTTTTTTTGGAAGGAAATAACACTTTCAAGCCATTTCCTCACTCCTACAAGTGATGCAGTTACTTTTTCAAAAAGGTCCATGTAACAAGTGCCTCTACGCCTGCCATGATATAGATGACTAGTGTTTTTGTGGACAAGATTTTAGGTTGAGTCTTGTTGTCTTTACCAGGCACTCATGCATTTTTTCCTATGCTGGCACTTCAGTCATTTAAAGCATTGTTGTCTATAAGCATGTGGAACTAACCATCAGCTGTCATTCTCTGCACTTCCTGAATGTACAGTTTTCCCATAATGTGACGAATGCCTGGCAAAGAAAAGATCAATTCAAACTGTTGTGAAGTTTCCTCAAGGGGGTGGAGGAGGAGGACTGATTACTCCAACTTAAGCTTCTGCTGAAAATAGAAAGTTGGAGCAG